GCTCAAGAAAGCACATATACAGGCCCGTCTGAAGTTTGCCAATGAACATCTGAATGATTCAGAGGAGAACTGGGTGAAAGTGTTATGGTCAGATGAGACCAAAATGGAGCTCTTTGGCATCAACTCAACTCGCCGTGTTTGGAGGAGGAGGAATGCTGCCTATGACCTCAAGAACACCATCCCCACCGTCAAATATGGAGGTGGAAACATTATGCTTTGGGGGTGTTTTTCTGCTATGGGGACAGGACAACTTCACCGCATCAAAGGGACGATGGACGGGGCCATGTCCCGTCAAATCTTGGGTGAGAACCTCCTTCCCTCAGCCAGGGCATTGAAAATGGGTCGTGGATGGGTATTCCAGCATGACAATGACTCAAAACACACGGCCAAGGCAACAAAGGAGTGGCTCAAGAAGAAGCACATTAAGGTCCTGGAGTGGCCTAGCCAGTCTCCAGACCTTAATCCCATAGAAAATCTGTTGAGGGAGCTGAGGGTTTGAGTTGCCAAACGTCAGCCTCGAAACCTTAATGACTTGGAGAAGATCTGCAAAGAGGAGTGGGACAAAATCCCTCCTGAGATGTGTGCAAACCTGGTGGCCAACTACAAGAAACGTCTGACCTCTGTGATTGCCAACAAGGGTTTTGCCACCAAGTACTAAGTCATGTTTTGCAGAGGGGTCAAATACTTATTTCCCTCATTAAAATGCAAATCAATGCGATTTGCTGGATTTTTTGGTTGTTATTCTGTCTCTCACTGTTCAAATAAACCTACCATTAAAATTATAGACTGATCATTTCTTTGTCAGTGGGCAAACGTACAAAATCAGCAGGGGATCAAATACTTTTTTCCCTCACTGTAGGCTGTATGCAGCTGCTCTTATTAGTAGCCTACAGTTGATCAGACTGAAACAAACGTAAGATCTCTAATGTTTCGGTGTAGCCTAGGCTGCTGCAACATTTATGTAATGAGTTTTTGCTTGTGTCTGTCCGGAGTGATTATGTGTTATCATCTTTGCTAAATAAATACCGGAGGAAAGTGGAAAGTCTACTTGAGCGCGCACTAAAAAAAGCGCCGCGTCAACCTCTCTTTTTAATCTAACTTTTAATGGATGATGCGATGGAAGCTATCAAATTATCCTGAATTGATTTCGACATCCCAGAAAAGACAGTAGAAAGTTGTAGTTGCTCTTGTTAGCTGAACAAACCCTCTCGTCATGTCCTCTAAAGCTTATTCTTGCATGCCCAAAAACGCAGTGGTGTTGATAAGCCGCTTGAGAACATCTCTGTTTCTTCTTACTTTCTCGTTGTGTTGCGCAGTTTGAATGCGCAGAACTTTGTCATGATCGATGTGGCTTTTTCCCAGAAGCTTGAATCTGATGTGGGCATTAAATGCTCCCTGCTTTTGTTTTGCCGTTTAGCTGAACGATCGATGTTCTTCAGGTCACTGTACCCCCCTTTCGCCCAAGACTCAAGGCTTTCCAAAAAGCAGGCAAGGCCAGCAGTACAGGCGGCTTGATGAAAGGCTCCCTGTTAACCAGCTATACTTTTGATACCAATTGGTGTTGAACGGCTTCACCTTTTCATCCTTCTTCATGAAACTGATCTCAGGCAGAGGTCGACCCTCGGTTTTAATTCGCACCTTTTCCATGTACCCCAGAAAATGAAAGGGGTTCTTCAACGGTAGCGTTGGCGGCGGAAACTGCACACTGGAGCTGGTAACTAGCTAGCTAGCTACTGCTACTTGCTACTGAAGTTAGCAACGCAAATTTAAATAAATTGCACTAACTGGACACAAAAATAAAGTTCTAAAACTAAGAAAACAATGTATAATCTACCTCCTCCGTCTCCTATAATTTGAAGAAACAAATCACTTTTCAATCTCTATCTAATAATGTCACCAACTCACTAAGCTTCTCAACACATAGAACCCACCCATAATGCTCTGTGGCACAACCCCAATACAACACACTAAGTTCATTCTCTGAACCTAATCCTATGATTGGATGGACAACATTTCAGTTCATACTGCAAAAGCTTTGATTGGTTGGAGGTCGTCCTCCGGAAGTGGTCATACTTATCATGTAGGTCTACGGAAGGGGGCGAGGCCTATGAGCTTCCTAGGTTTTGTATTGAAGTCAATGCACCCAGAGGAGGACAGACTCTAGCTGTCCTCCGGCTACACCATGGTGCTACCCCAGAGAGTGCTGTTGAAGTTACTATAGACCTTCACTGCAAAACAGTGTGTTTCAATTATTTGGTGACATATTAATATATTTAGTATAGAGTTATCTAAAAAGGATAACTTTTTTAGTGTTTCACTATTTTAATTTTTATGAAATTTCACTGAGGAGGATGGTCCTCCCCTTCCTCCTCTGAGGAGCCTCCACTGGATGAATCACGCTTCACCATCTGGCAGTCCGACGGACAAATCTGGGTTTGGCGGATGCCAGGAGCACGCTACCTGCCCGAATGCATATTGCCAACTGTAAAGTTTGGTGGAGGAATAATGGCCTGGGGCTGTTTTTCATGGTTCAGCTGAAGGGAAATCTTAATGCTACAGCATACAATGACATTCTAGACGATTCTGTGCTTCCACCTTTGTGGCAACAGTTTGAGGAAGGCCCTTTCCTGTTTCAGCATGACAATGCCCCCGTTCACAAAGCGAGGTCCACACAGAAATGTTTTGTTGAGATCGGTGTGGAAGAACTTGACTGGTCTGCACAGAGCCCTGACCTCAACCCCATCGAACACCTTTGGGATGAATTCGAATGCCAACTGTGAGCCAGGCCTAATCGCCCAACATCAGTGCCCAACCTCACTGATGCTCGTGGCTGAATGGAAGCAAGTCCCTGCAGCATTGTTGTTGTTTTTTATCGCACTGCTTTGCTTTATCTTGGCCAGGTCGCAGTTGTAAATGAGAACTTGTTCTCAACTGGTTTACCTGGTTAAATAAAGGTGAAATAAAATAAAAAATGTTTCAACATCTAGTGGAAAGCCTTCCCAGAAGAGTGGAAGCTGTTATAGCAGCAAAGGGGGGATCAACTCCAAATATATATTTGGAAAGCATAATCCTACTAATGGCTTTCTCTCATGAATAATGAATTAGCTACTGGAGTCACCGTGAAGATGAGAGAGCAAACAAAAAACGACCAGAAAAAAAACACAGTACATCTGTTCCAACTAGAAAGAAAATGTTTCAATCTGTCATTTCCACCCACAGACTCAGCATTTCAGTTGACAAAAAGAGTTATTCAAAATAGTATATGGATCCCCTTAGTATGCACCCTAAACTAATACACCCAAAACACATTACTGGTTACTATTAGTCCTCTTGAACTTTATCCGCCCAGCCTTTGAATTCCTTGTTAGTATAGTGTCCTCAGCTCTGTGAGTATTTGCCCCTGGCGTCTAGCTAATGGACCCAGGGTCTCTGACGAGCCAACCCACCGGGCACAGATGTCAATTCAATGTCTATTCCACGTTGGTTCAATGTAATTTCATGAAATGACGTGGAAACAAGGTTGATTCAACCAGTGTGTGCCCAGTGGGAAAAAGTGTGCGAGATTGAGTGTACTCAGCGACAGCATGACCCAAATGAAATAAATGACAATAAAACATTTTTTGTCACATACACCGGATAGGTGCAGTGAAATGTTTTGTTTTACAGGGTCAGCCATAGTAGTACTGGTGCAAATTAGAGTTAAGTGCCTTGCTCAACAGCACATCGACAGATTTTTCACCTTGTCGGCTCGGGTATTTGAACCAGCGACCTTTCGGTTACTGGCCCAGAGAACAAGGAAAAGCTCACAGGACTGGACACCTGTCTCAAATAGCAGTTATTCATGGCATGCTAATGCCCCACAGCTCTGTACTGTCCATCCATTCCACTGACATTTTGAAAGAGTGCCTTTGAATCGGCCCCTCATGGCTAACTGGATAACATCAGATCTGGGCTATACCTTTTGAAATAATCTTTGGCGTATTTCAAAAGGTTCGGACAAAAGATTTAGAGGTTACTGCCTTGAATTGCTTCCTGGCGACCGGCGAGGGTCCATTTTGAAGTATTTTGATCTCCGTAGGTGACTTCAAGCTATCAAAACCTAGAGCTGCTGCAAAATGGTTTCTCTGAAAGGGAGAGAGATGACAGATAAGATGCTATTGTCTGTTTGTGCAGACATTTCCCTTGCATCTCAAAACTGCTACATCATCACAACACATTGTCAACAATAACAAAAACAGTTTGTCAAAACACCATACCATTACATTACATAAGGAGCTACGTGCAGGTGGGTGCTACAGTACATTGATAGTGGATGATACATTCCTCTTAAGTGCTCAATTAATCCAGTCCATTAAAGAGATATTCAGCCCTGTATATTACACAGAATCAACATTAACTACCATCTCTCTGTACTGTGTGCTGGTGAATGCTGAGGTGACCGAGCTAAGTAGAAACATAATTTTACCCAGTGCCCTGTCTGTGACTCCAAGTGACAACATTGCCATCCACATTGCTAAAGTCACTGGGGTGATGGGAGGGCTAGAGTAGCTCAGGGGCTGAGGGGAGCATTTAATTAACACTTTAACTTGCTGACATGGGAAATCACTATGGAGCATAGGGAATGGTTGCCATGGCTACCTGTTTTGGCTCCCTCAGACGGGATACAGGGGTTGGGCTCGAGGGGTGGTGCTCTAGCTTTGTAATGTCTGGGAAAGTAAGAGGCGGATGAATGAGTTTCAAGTGAGCAAGGCTGTTTGATTGATATGGTCATGACCAGATACTGTAGCTATTCACCAGGAACCATTGAGACCACACACTGGTTGCCAATATTGTGTTAATCGTAGAATGGCATGTAAAGGAATACTGTACTAAAGTGTTTAACTTAGCATTTTTAAGTAGGCAGTGTATTGAGCACTAGATATGGTGTATTATGTTTAGATAGTGTTTACCTCTACTCAAGCTCTGACCTGTTCACTGAGCTCCCTCTCCATGTCCCTCAGGCGTATGTGAAGTGTCACTTTGACTACGATCCATCCCATGACAACTTAATTCCCTGTAAGGAGGCAGGCCTGGGCTTCTGCAGTGGAGACATCCTGCAGATCTTCAACCAGGAGGACCTCAACTGGTGGCAGGTCAATCACTTCTAATGGACAACCACTATTTCTTCTTTCACTTTATCATGTTTATCCTAAATAGTTTTAAATGTATTGTTGTTGCAATGTAATGATAGAACCACTTTATGTATTTATTTCCATCACAGGCATGTCACCTAGTTGGGGGCAGTGCAGGCCTCATCCCTAGCCAGCTACTGGAGGAGAAGAGGAAGGCTTTTGTCAAGAAAGATCTGGAGCTGGTTACTACAGGTACTGTATATTATATACTGCATGATTCCTATTTTACTGCATTATAACCCACACAAGTATTGGAGGACACAAAGGAGCTTGACATCTTCTACACACTAAAGATAACACTCTCAATTTATAAGTTACTCCTCTACATTTGTCATGGAGATAAGACAAGAAAAACTAAAATGGGATAAGATAAGATGATACTAGGTGACATGCCTGTGATTGTCTGAATGTGCAAAATATGATCCACCAAAAACACCAACATGAAACATGAGTACAGTAAATTGCGACAAAAGAAATACATTTGTTGTTCTGGGTGTTTTGTGTGTGCACTGTGCACGTATACGCATGAACTGCCTGCTTGTCCCCTCATCACCCTTCAAGACGGTTGTTTAATCAGTGAAGAGGGACTAGCAATAAGCAGCAGACTTAGAGAGACATGACTCACACAGATTCAATCTGTTCCTCATTAAGCTCATTCTAGACAGAGGGGCCAGGTCACATTCATACTGTAGTGTCCTCTTTCTGGCTGTAGCACGCTATACTGGTGGTGGGTGGTGAGTCACCCACTCAGCCTGCAGCCACATGCCCTTCACTTCAGTAGAGGGAAGTGGCAGTCAGGCGCTAAGACTGCCCTTGGACCTGTAGGAGACAAATATGGGACACTTGTGGGGGCTATTTACGCGGTATATGATATGATATGGTCATACAATCGTTGGCAAAAATATTGTCACCCTTGCACTTTTTTCAAATATTGCACAATTTAATTAGATTTCAAGCAGGTGATTCTCCTTTACTTTGGAATTGAAATCACCTTTGGTGAGATGCAGGTGCCTGCAATATAAAAATCACAAATTCAACCAGTTTGAATAGAGAAAAGGACTCATTCTCCTGTTTTGTGTCACTGTGTGTACCGCAATGAGCATGGAGAAAATAAAGAAAACCAGATATTTATCTGAGGAGGTCAGACACAAGATTGTAGCCAAGCATGGACAATCTCAAGGCTACAAGTCCATCTCCAGAGACCTTGATGTTCCAGTTTCCACCGTACATAATGTTATCAAGATGTTGAAGGCCCATTCCACTGTAGCCAACCTCCCTGGATGTGGCCGCAAGAGAAAACTTGATGGAAGATTGCAGCGAAGGATTGTTTGAATGGTGGAGAAAGCACCTCGGTCAACTGCCACACAGATTCAAGCTGACCCTCAGACACAAGGTACGGCAGTTTCAACTCGCACCATCTGTCGCCAACTCAATGAAAGGGGGTTATATGGTAGGAGACCCAGGAGGACCCCACTGCTGAGAGAAAGACATAAGAAAGCCTGACTGCAATTTGCCAAAACACACCTGAGAATGCCAAAATCCTTCTGGGAGAATGTCCTGTGGACAGATGAGACGAAATTAGAGCTTTTTGGTAAAGCACACCATCTCTATGTTTACAGAAAACTAAATAAAGCCTTCAAAGAAAATAACACCTTCCCTACAGTAAAACATTGAGGAGGTTCAGGGATGTTTTGGTGTTGCTTTGCTTACTCTGGCACTGGGTGCCTTGAACGTGTGCATGGCATCATGAAATCAGGAGAATACCAAGGCATTTTGGAGCTCAATATCGGACCCAGTGTCAGAAAGCTGGGTCTCCGTCGAAGGTCATGGGTCTTCCAGCAGGACAATGACCCCAAACACACTTCAAAAAGCACCAAGTAATGGTTCAAGACATAACGCTGGATTGTTCTGAAGTGGCCAGCAATGAGTCCAGATCTAAATCCCATTGAAAACTTGTTGACAGATCTGAAAACAGCAGTTGGGAGAAGGCACGCTTAAAATCTGGGAGAACTGGAGCAGTTTGCAGAAAAGGAGTGGGCCAAACTGCCAGTACAGAGGTGCAGGAAGCTCATCAATGGCTATAGGAAGCGCTTGATTGCAGTTATTTTGATCAAAGGCTGTGCTACCAAATATTAAGTCTAGGGTGTCAATGGATATATTAAGTTCTGAAAAAAAAAAAAAAGGTTCTGTAGTATTAGCAGTGAAATAAAGAATTGTGGAGACCAAATACTTTGTTCAACTTCAACTTATTTTTATGGAAAATTGTGAGTTACTTGAAAAAAGTACAAGGGTGAAAATATTTTTTGCCACGACTGTATATAAAATGCCTATCCCAAGCTACTTATAGTTAACACATGTATTGATTGTATGAAGTCAATGTAGGAATCAAACACACAACAGTGGAGTTGCAAGCTTTGCTTCAAACAAATGTCCTTAAAGCCCACCTGCCAGCCATACTGAAGAGACGACTGGGCAGTGACAGAGATTCCCAGGTGTGCTGTTGTAATCAAATTGAACTGCCATCCTTTCTGTAATGCAAAATGTGGGGGGGAAATATTTTTGGTTCACGTTTTTATGAATATCGCTAGCAACAACAGAATAGACTAATTTTAAATGACATACTTACAGTAGAAAAGAGGATAATAAAACTGCTGGTAAGCTTTCTTGACTTGGACATACATTTTTGCCAACACATAGCTAAACTTTGTTTAACCAGCTAAACAGCTACTCGGAGTGAAAATGTGTTTGGGGTTACCTTTCTAGCTAATAGGCTATGTTAGAGTTAACACTTCCTCTTCCAAATCTAATGTGGGGAGGTCAAAATAATGAAAAACCATCTACCAAATCTATTCATTTTAAAATGTTGATTACTTCTCCTTGCCATTATATGTCACCTAATGATAAGACAAGACGTGGGAAAATAAGTGTTTTTTGCTAACATATGATGGGGGTCCCTGGTCGCTGTTTGCCTAGGAGCGGGGTCAATGGGTAAGAAAAGGTTGAAGGCCCCTGCTGCAATGCATTGGCATACTGCCCTCTGGTGGTACAAGCTACATTTTTACATTTTTTGTCATTTAGCAGACGCTCTTATCCAGAGCGACTTACAGTTAGTGAGTGCATACATTTTCATACTCGCCCTTCCGTGGGAAACTAACCCACGACCCTGGCGTTGCAAGCTCCATGCTCTACCAACTGAGCTACAGGGGACTGATTTGCAGACTTTGATTTATGATACAGAACAGCAACACTGTAAAAGGCAACCAACCCTGACTGGCAGGTACTGTTCATTAAATTGATAAAGACTCAATTGAAGTGGGTTGAGAAGTACTGAAGGAAGGCAACATGTTGTGTGCTGTCTTTCTCAGGTCCTCTTTGTTCTGGAATGGGTGGGAAGAAAAAAAAAAAGATGATGTATCTGACAACCAGAAATGCAGGTACGTTTTTTTGTGCCAAAATGACCATTTGTAAATGTAACAATGTTTGAAAGTGCTGCCAGTGTATTCTTTACATGTAAACTTTGTTAGTCAAAAGTGTCAACGGTTGTCAATGTAGTATACTACACTGTGTATGTGTAGCATGAATTATATTAGGTCAAGTAATACCGGTAGTAATACTGATTATGTGGATATCTGATATGAATATGTTGCCTGTTCAGAGTTTGATCGGCACGAGCTGAGGATCTACGAGGAGGTGGCCAAGGTTTCCCCGTTTCGCCGGAAGACGTTGGTTCTGATTGGAGCACAGGGAGTGGGCCGCCGGAGTCTAAAGAACAAACTGTTGGTGTCAGACCCCCTGCGCTACGGGACCACCATTCCCTGTGAGTAGTACTAGCATCTAACACTGACAGAGCCACTGACATTGACACTTTGATTTACTCTGGTGTTCTGTAATCTATGCCATATTAGAAAATATACAAAAAACATACAAACAATTTAGAAATACAAATACTGTATTCACATTTGTATGAGATACAAAGACTACATTTTTTTCTTCTGTGTGCGTTGCTCAGCACTGTGTTTGTCAGTTGCTATACCTTTATGTAGATAACCCAACAACCTGTCTCCAGTTACCTCGAGGAAACCCAAGGTGGATGAGAAGGATGGACAGATGTACTCGTTCATGACTCGCAGTGAGATGGATTTGGACATTAAGAACGGGCGCTTCCTGGAGCACGGCGAGTACGACGGGAACCTCTATGGCACCAAGATCAACTCCATCCACGAGGTGGTGGACGCTGGAAAGATCTGTATCCTGGATGTCAACCCACAGGTAGACTATAGCACCTGGGCATCTTTATTCATTCATCGGTATAATACTCCAGACATTTTCTCGGCATCAATGTCCAGGGAAGAGGTTGATCTTTACCTTTTTCTTTCTTTTTGAAAGGAGAACAGAATTCGGTTTTATTGAGATTGTTGGCTACATTACCACTATGCCAAACTTTAGCACATAGATCAGTGAAGTAATATGATTACTATAGAATGTTCTTATTGTTTAACCAAAGCCAAGGTTTACATTACAGATGAAATGGAAGTAATGGAATCCTTTAATGCGACTAGTCATTTTCAAGTGGTCATAGCTAATTTGATTAGCTCGTTACATCATTAGCATCTATGAATAATCTATTATTACAGCTGCTTTTCAACTATTTAATTCCTTTCTGCAGGCACTTAAGGTTCTGCGGACGTCAGAGTTCCTTCCCTACGTGGTGTTTATTGAGGCTCCAGATTACGAGGTCCTCAAAGCCATGAATAAGTCTGCCAAAGAAGCCGGAGTGATGACCAAACAGTTAACGGTGAGTCCCAGACAGACTGGACAGTTGTATCATAGCTACATCATTGGTCCAGTTAGCAGAATATGTTGTTTGACACTCATTAAAATGTAGGACTGGTATGTTCAAAATGCATTAACCCTAGCAATTCATCATCTTTAATAAGCCCATTAACGCCAATTCATTTCTGACTGTGTACCACCAATCTCAGTGTGTACATCACCCCTTGTTACATTCTCGGTCATGCCATAGTATCAGTTTGACCTTTTAGACCCCAATGAATAGGATTGTATGTACAGTCCTAGATCAGCACTCCTACTCTGAGATGCTTTTTGAATGGGCACAATTATTTGTACGCAAATAAGTCATAGTAAGTTATAGTTGTCCAGGATGACCACTATCATCACCCTGTTGTTCCTCCCATGCAGGACTCTGAGCTGAAGAGGACAGTGGATGAGAGCGAGAAGATCCAGCGGGCCTACGGACATTACTTTGACCTGAATATCATCAACGACAGCCTGGAGGGGGCCTACTGCGGCCTGAAGACAGCACTGGAGAGACTGAGCTCAGAGCAGCAGTGGGTTCCTGTCAGCTGGGTCTTCTAAAGGCCAATCAGAGGTCAGAGCTAGAGTTTAGGAGGTCATAAGGAGGTCATAAGGAGGTCAGGATAGGGGTCAAAGGTCTGAGGAGTTGGTACAGGCCGCAGGTATAGAGTTTCCCTCCGCAGCGTGTGACGCTATACGATGTGCAAGTTACGTCAATTTTAGTTCCGTTTCCCTTGTTTTGTAGGCTAAGAATGAGCCTCAAATTTGCATCATCAAAGTCATGAAAACGTGGCCATTTAAGATATATATTAAATTGTATACGTGTTTCCGAGTGAATTATCTCTACAATATGCTGGTTTTCAACGTATTTGATGGCCAAGAAGAAGCATAAAGCCGAAAAGTGAAATCCGTTTCATTAGAACTACACACGTGAATAACAAACTTTCGACAGCTTGCCAGTCTACAAACAAACTATTTTTTTTCCATACAAAATCCAGCGTAATCTAATATACAACACATCAAACAGCCTGTAAGTAACGGGTTCTTACCGTGAAAGTTAGCTACTGCGTGACTGCGTGGTCTACAATGGCAGCACACAGCCGAAACATGGAATAACCTGGATAGAAACGTATTTTAAACGCTTATTTGATAGCGAGGGACACATTCAACCCGACATGTCGTACATTTTGTTCCTCGAGATTATGGATATGCATTTGCTGATGGGAAACGTTTTTGTTGTTGTCGGTGAAACCAAATAGTTTGTTGATGAAGGGCTCCAGGCTACGGTTCTTTCCACAACTTGGCATCAGTAAACAGTAAAAGTAAAAATGTTTAATATAAATGTTAATATAAATGCCTAGTTGTAGGACGAAGCTAGTAAGTCCTCGACTAGAGCCGTCATGCTATCAAAGCAGCAGGAGATGTAGTTCAAAGGAGAGTTTTTTAACTTTCTGCGATGTGTCTTACTTCTTGAGCGTCAAATATTTTGATAAAAGACATTGGGTATGACTAAATCAATACACAAATATGAATATGATGTTATATCATATATATCTTAAGTGTTTTAACAATGCATCGTTCCTACAACGGCCAAATATGTAACATGTGTTTCCCAAAACTCTACGCAGAGAGAACGTTTGCTAAGTGCGTCGTTGGAGCATGTGTCGATACTGATAGGATCGAAAGAAAGGCAGTGCTGCTCTCGGTTCAGCTTTCTCCATTCAAATTTAACCATAACATTAAAAAAAATTCACAATACTGATGACGGATCAGCTGCTAGAGAGATATTACCACATATGGCAGCAAATATTGAGGTAGCTTATTCTAACGCTTATCCAATAATAATGCACGAAATTTGGCACATTGCACATGTTGCTACACATCATGACAAATAGTGAGGCCAAAATTACAAACAATAGCCTAGCCTACAATGAGCTAAATATAACTAAATTGATTGAACATAAAATGTATTTCAATATGATTGAAATACTGTATATAGGCCTATGTAGCCTATACTATTTATCTTTCAATGCAGTCATCTCAGTTTTCATTTGAAGCATTGTTTGTCCATTTTTGGTGTGTTTTCAAACAGTTTTTCTCTAATTTTCATTATCAGTTTGTTTCATACAATACTACATACACCCGGGTAGAACTATTACAATATGAATCGCTGGGTACTCACCGTCCACCCGACCTCCCCGAATTCCCTGAGAAGACGAAACAATGGACTAGCTTCTTTGGCGATGCGCCGAGCTGCTTGGGATTCCTACCGTAGAATAGGAAGTGAAGACACCAACAGAGAGGCAGACTAGGCGGAGTCTTAGTGAGATTAAGACGCCGTGCGACCGGTCCTCCATTACCGAGCATACTACTCGCCAATGTTCAATCATTAATGAACAAACTTGACGAACTCAGAGCGAGGATCTCCTTCCAGAGGCACATCAGATCCTGCAACATACTCTGTTTTTCTGAGACTTGGCTTTCCTCCGACATCCAAACGGATTATATACAACCAGCGGGTTTTACTGTTTTTCGAGCGGATAGGAAGCGGGCTCTCTCTGGCAAAAGCAAAGGTGTTGGGCTCTGCTTTATGACCAACAACACATGGTGCGATGGAGAAACGTACAGGAACTTGCAAGCTTCTGCTCCCCCGACTTGGAATACTTGGTCATCAAATTTGGCCCTTTTCACCTTCTGAGAGAGTTCACAGGGATTATCGCCATGGCTGTGTACATCCCGTCCCAAGCTGACACCAAAAAGGCACTCAAAGATCCTCATTGAACCCTGAACAAACTGGAGATCACATTCCCGGAGGCAGCGTTCATTGTTGCGGGGGACTTTAACAAAAGTAATTTGAGAACTGTGTTTCCAAATTATTACCAACACTGTCTAACTTGCGGAAATTCTACTCTTGACCACTACTACACACCTTTCGACACGGGTGTAAGGCACTCTCCCGTCCTCCTTTCGGCAAATCCGACCATGACTCCATCTTGCTTCTCTCCTCCTACAAACTCAAGAAGGAAGTTCCGGTGGTCAGGTCTGTACAGAGTTGGTCCGACCAATCAGAATTCATGCTTCAAGACTGTTTTGATCACATGGACTGGAATATGTTTCGGGTCGCCTCTGGAGATAAAGTCAATGAATACGCCAACTCAGTCACCGGATTCATAAAAAAATGCATAGATGACGTGATACCGATAGTGTCTTTCAAAACGTTCCTGAATCAAAAACTATAGATTTATAGCAGCCTTGTAGGAAAACTGAAAGAGAGCAATACTGCTTATAAACAGGGCAAGGTTAATGGGGACAATAGTTTGGTTAAACAGTACAAAGAAGACCTACGCAGATCGACCAAGATGACAAAACACAAGTATAAGGACAAAGTGGAGGAGCAGTTCAGCGGGTCGGACACAAGGCATATATGGCAGGGGCTACTAACGATCACGGATTACAAAAAGAAAGACAGCCACATCGCGGTCCCCAACGCCACCCTACCAGAGGAGCTAAGCACCTTTTTCTCACGACTTGAGCACAATGATCCTGAGCTGCCCAGGAGAGCCCCCGATGACAACATGGGCTACACACTCACAATCTCCACTGAGGACGTATGGCAGATGGCATCCCTAGCCTCAGAGCATGTGCTGACCAGCTGGCTGTTGTGTTCTCTGACATTTTCAATCTCTCCCTAGCTCAGGCCGATATACCCACCTGCTTCAAGATGTCCATTGTCATCCCTGTGCCCAAGATAGGAAAAGTAACTGAACTGAATGACTACCGACCAGTAGCACTCACTTCCGTCATCATGAAGTGCTTCGAGAGGCTAGTCAAAGACCATATCAACTCCCTCCCGACACACTCGACCCTCTCCAATTTGCCTACTGCCCTGACAGATCCACGGACAACGCATCGCCATTGCCCTTACCCACCTGGACAAAAGTAATGCATATGTGAGGATGCTGTTCAACGACTACAGCGCGGCCTTCATTACCATAGTGGCGTATAAGGTCATTACAAAGCTCACGCCCCTTGGTCTGTACTCCCTATGCAATTGGGTCCTGGACTTCCTGACGGGCTACCCCCAGGTGGTGAAGGTAGGCAACATTATCTCCTCGAAACTGATTCTCAACACGGGGGCCCCACAAGGGTGCGTCCTCAGTATTCCTTGTATACCCACGACTGCGTGGCCTCCCACAGTTCCAACTCCATCATCAAGTTCGCTGACTACATAACAGTAGTAGGCCTGATTACCAACAACGGCGAGATAGCCTACAGGGAGGAGGTAGGCACTCTGACGGCGTGGTGCCTCTGTTCCCGAGGGCCCTCACAGTGCTACAGAAGCACCATCGAGAGCATACTGTCGGGCTGCATCCCAGCTTGGTACGGAAACTCCACCGCCATGGACCGGAAGGCGCTTCAGAGGGTGATACATGCAGCTGAACACACCATTGGGTGCACACTGCCTGCCCTATAGGACACCTAAAACACCAGGTGTCGCAGGAAGGCCAAGAAGATCATCAGGGACCCCAGCCACCCAAGCAATGCCCTGTTCATCCTGCTTCAATCATTGAGGTGCGGGCAGTACAGGAGCATCATGGCAAAAACTGGAAGACTGGCCAATAGTTTCTACCTTCAGACCATCAGGCTGCTGAATAGCCACCACTAGTCAGCTACTAGCTCCCCCCTCCCCCCTGCTACTCCCTCATGGACATTTTCCCCCCATCCCACCAACTGACTTTTATTTTTTTATTAAATTGGTCCCCACACCCCATATGGTCAATCCCCCACACCACAAAATGGATTATAACATTGCAGATAAAGTTTAGAATGACACAATGTCATGTGTACAGCATCTAAAGACCTGGATCACGATACTGCCGTTTGTAAAAGGATGTATTTGGGTGTTTTTGGAGCCTTTGTTTGTGTTCTTTGGACGTCCTGGTACTCAGGAAGTCAATCGCTGCTAGGGTAAGTTTCTCCAAACCAAGTAAAAATGCAAAGAAAGTGTCTGGACCCTTCTATAGCATGCCATTTACAGTACATCACAAATTTACAGATTAGGTTCCTAAATAATGAAATTCTCCTTTAAGATGCTTTTGCAAAACCTGGCCCAGGGACATGGATACGGACGTATGACGTAGGAACGTGTCACTTTCATTGGGTATTGGTTGGAGGTCTGTTGTAAAGGGCCAATTCCGATGCTCCAGTGCAAGGGGTTTGCCTCATGGTAGACTTTTGCACAAATTATAGTTCCTCCACAGACATGATGTCAAACTGTAATTTCTGTCAAAATAAATAGCCTAATTAAAATAAACAAACTATTAATAACAAAATATATATTGGTATTTGTTTGGTGAGGCTTTAGAGGTGATTTGAGTTACTGTGCGTAGCTTGTGAGTGATACGAGTGACAGTATATTATATAGGTTTAAGTAGGCTTATATATTTAGCAAATACTGTGCTGGAGGTCTTGGAGTATAATGACCATTGTTATACTACCAGGAGTTCACTGAACATTTTTTGCCTTAACAAATCCTTTTTATTTATTTATTGCAAAAAAAA